TTTAAAACGTGTAAAATTATATTATACGCTTCACAGCAGCCAACAATTTATTCCGCAATGACACGCGATGCAAAAAATATGATGAAATATTAAACTGCCGGTAATTGAGTATATTGTACGAAGATATTCGTATGTTGTACGAATTTAAAAAAACATGTTTCTGCACTAGTACTTTATACGAAAGTATTAATTAAATTGTACGAATACAGAATTGTAGATTTCGTAAATTTAAAACCATACGTAAATATTACGAATGCCTTCTTACAATATACAAAATTATTCGTACAGAGATCTGTTCAGTGCTTTACGAATGTGTTTCGTAAAATAAACGTTAGATTTCGTAAATTGTACTGAAAAAATGCCGTACGAAAGTCATTTCGTTATATTTACGTATGGTTCGTAAAATCTTGTTTCGTTGTGAAAAATGTGTTCGTATTATGAACGAAAGTTTCGTACATTGTACAAAAACCAACACTACGAAAGATTTTCGTAGCACTTTTACGAAATTTTATTTTCAGTGTTCTTAAATTCGCCTTGCACGAGGCCCTTATTGCCAAAGAAAAAGTCCAGCATCCTATGGTACTGCTCCGTAGTAGCTCTTGCGCTTTTTTTCATATTGTATTCACTTACAACAATCCCGACAACAATAATACGCACAACAACAACAATTTTCTTTTAAATATTGAGTGTCAAACGTCAATATTGCCATATTTGTCTTTGTAATTAACGACAATCGTCGTAAACTTCTTTATCGAAGTATTCGCTACTGCAAGCTACAAACGTCGTTCATTATCAATAACGAATATCGGTCGTTAGGAAAAATAGGAATCGCACTACTAAACATATATGGTATATGGGGTATGGAAAAAGGGTTTATTCCAGCAGTAAACGTTTTAGTGTGGGCAACAATGATATTTTTTAAATAAGGCAGATCGGAATATGCGCTCTCTGGGAAGACAATACCTGTAATTATTGTACCATGGTTTCAAACCCATTTATTTATTATTTATTTCATGGCAGGAGAGCTTCTCAAACAATATAGAAGCAATTTTTTCGATTCAAGTTGTTGAAAAGTAATGAATATCTATATCCCGGGACTAATCCCGTAATCCCAGGAATGTGACAACGCCATCCCAAAAATCCTGGGATCGGAAAAAGGCGAAAAATTAACATCCCTAATATCAACGCCATTTCTTCTTCGGACAACATATTAACCATTTCTTTATTAACAATCGTACAGTGGTTATTTTTTGGACACGAAGTAGATCGATCCTTCCAGAGGTTTTGATTAATTACACCATGCTGAGGTTCAAATACCCAATCGACTAAATCTCGTAAAATAATCTCTTGTGGCACTTATCTTAATTTTTTAGTCTGGCGAGAGTTCAAAATTCAAAATTATTGTTGTTGGAAATTGAAAATGCGAATGCGTGTGTGGGATTCAGTTTTACATTTTAAAATTGCTTAATGTAAAACTTTAAAAATCTTTACGGGCAAATACATACATATGTGCATATGTCAGCTCAAGTAGAACAAAAGTCAAAAATGTACCAAAATATTTTGTGTGATATACATTTTCAATATAAAAAATATGCCATTTCTAAGCGCAGTTTTTGAACAGTTTATTTCGATTCAGTGTAAAGGTTAAACCGCTTTTTCGTGCGTTATTTACACCTACCGTAAAATTTTTTTTACTGATTTTCGGTATATATATTATGCCAGTAGTATACAAGTTTTCTCGTTTCTAGAACACAGCTGTAAAAATTTGCAATACATTCATTTTTTTAGCAATCAATGATTGTGCTAGTAATAGAATTAGAATCAAAATTGATTACATTTTTTTGATTGTAAAAACTACAATCAATTTAATTGTAAGCACATTTGATTGCAATGATTGTAATTGCAATCAAATCACTGATTCAATCAAACATTTTAATTGCAATCTCAAAAACTCAAGAATTTATTCATGCTTTTTTTAATAAAGAAATTGAGAGCGTAAAAGCAAAATAGAACGTGAAATTGAGAAAAAGAGAAAACTAGCAGAAGAAGTTATTGAACTAGTAAAAACTTGCAAGTGAGTATGTAAATGTTGCACCGTTTTGACATTCCGCTGTAACCATTTTACTATTTATAAATCAGTTTTTAACACTTTGCTTTACACGCAAGCACTTACACAGTCGAGTACATCATTAATATTTTGATTTCCACTCATTTTACTTTTGTTTATGCTTACCCATTTCAACAAATGGCGGCTTTTGACATTTATTCTTCTTCCGCTAGCTAATTTCTGCTAGCATTTCACTAGCAAGAATTTGCACCTCTCCCGTGTTATTACGCTCTCGATTCAGTGCTCTATTGGAAATTTTTTGGGTTATTATTAATGTGACCTACCGTACTTCTTTCGGAAGTACAGTACTTCTTTTTGAGCCGAAGTACAGTCAAATGTACTTCTTTGCAATACTTTGTTCTACCCAAGGCACATTGAACAGGTAGTATCAGTAGATCAGCTGATTTGATTTTTTTTTTCAAATTATTCGGTCTCTAAAATGTCAACTATTTCTAATTTCTAAATTGTCAAAATCCTGATCCTGGGCCTTGCAAATGATGCTTCGAGAAGCAAGCAAAATTTACTAAGAAAGAAAGTCGCCCCAGTTTTTTCCCAAATTTAATTTTTAATTTTTACTTTTTTGTATTTCACATGGTACTCTTAGATTTACAAAAAATATCCCTCTCCACTTTGAAAGTGTCTCAAAATAACCGTCAAATTTAAAAGAAACAATAACCCACAAAACAGAAAAGGTGGTTTATTTTTTGTACATGTGTGCTCCTCTCAGTGGGAAAGGGTTATTTGCATATCTTTTTCCGTTGCTGTTGGACACGGACACTTATCGCTGGAAGGGGAAAAATAAGTGTTAGAGCGCGTTTACCCACGAACGTGTACGCAGGGTACCGTAGAAGTGCGTAGAAACATATCAAATCTCTTTTTTATAATTACCTTTATTTTAATCTTTCTTCCTTTATCTTCATCTTTACTCATCGTCATCTGTTTCTTAATATTCATCTTTATCATCTTTATGTTTATCATTTTCTACATCTACATATTCACCTGCACCTTTGCCCTTATATTAGTAAAATTTTTAAATTTACCTTGATCTNCTTTTTTATAATTACCTTTATTTTAATCTTTCTTCCTTTATCTTCATCTTTACTCATCGTCATCTGTTTCTTAATATTCATCTTTATCATCTTTATGTTTATCATTTTCTACATCTACATATTCACCTGCACCTTTGCCCTTATATTAGTAAAATTTTTAAATTTACCTTGATCTTAATTTTTGCATTTATCTTAACGCATCTTTGTTTTTGTTTTTATTTTTACCTTTGACTTTATCCTTTTCTTTATCAATAAAATAAAATAACTTATATCGGTGTATCATATTATGAATGTGCACGCTCTCTTCTTTGTCATAAATGTTCGCACATGTATGGTACGTACTAGGGATGTTGCGAATGTGGAATTTTAGACATCCGCGGATGCGAATGCGGATGCGAATATCTAACAGCTAACATCCGCGGATGCGGATGTCAATGCGGATGTTAAGTCTTTTTAAGAAACAATTAGAATCTAGCACAATGTCGAGATCGTTGTTTAAACAGCGCTTACAAGCCAAACCAGATACATATGTTAGGTTGTTTTAAAGTTTTTAAAAAGAATTCTTCCTTCTCATTCCTTTGGCTGTTTCGGAATTTGGGGAATCTGCAACTTATCAGCGTTTTTCAATTTTTGTTTTTTTTAATTAATTTTTAATACTTTCATCAGCGAATGGTTTGAAAAATTTGTGCTTATAGCGAGCTAAATAGGTGGATACGGAAAATAAATTGTTATTCTTGAACATAATTCTGGAAATCCCTATTGATGGAACTTACTCTTTGACTTTAAATAGCAAAGAAGAGACAGTTTTACCACAGAAGTTTTTAGCCAAGGATCCAATGTACATATATCCCTATGAAAAAATATTCCCGGCAATTTTTTATAATTTTTGCTAAAAATAAATTCCCCAAAGAGACCCATTTGAAATTATTGAAACGACATCAAAAGCAAATCACGAAAATTTGTTTGAGAATTACAGTGCACACTTTCTCCTTTTGTGTCTACATAGTAGTTTTTTTTAAGATTGGTCCAAAAAAATCATAATAAAGAAAGAAACCAAAGTAGGTATTTAAAGCACAGAAAAAAAATATATTAAAAATTGAAACTTTTGTGTAAAACCAATTAAATTAATTTAAATCTAAAAAAATTGATAAAATGCCAGCGCCAATGATTTTTGGGTGGGCTGAGGCAAGAAGACGTGTTATTGCACGCTTAAAACAAAAAAATCGTCAGCTAAGGATGAATGTAGACATATTTCAAAAGTTGGACTCCAAGTAAGTTGACCCTTCAATGTAATTTTCTTTGTCTAACTTGATCTGTACATACTTTTTAGGTTTATAGAGTCTTATCGCGTAAATAAAGATGTTTTCAAAATGCTGTTAGATAAAATAGGAAGCAGGTTAGCGGAAAGGCATTGTTTTATTACACCGACTACGCAACTGGCAGCCACACTCCGGTTTTTAGCAACTGGCTCCTATCAGTTGGGGATTTCTAAAGATCAAGATGTCAACATAGGCAGAAGCACCTTTTTCAAGGTATTGCACTTTGCTGTACAGGAGCTGGAGAGCTGCTTTGTGAAGAATACATTCAGCTGAGGATGTCGCCCGCGGAGATGAACGCATCAAAAGAGCATTTTTATGGGGAATTCAATTTTCCCGGTGTCATTGGGTGTGTGGATGGAACACACATAAAAGTGTCAAAACCAAGGGATGACGAGTCTCTGTTTTTTAATAGGAAGGGATATTTTAGCATAAATGCAATGGTGGTAAGCTGTTAAATAATAAACAAATTTCTTTGTAATAAAAACGCGTATATATTTATTATATTAACAGATTTGTAATTACAATATGGAAATAGTGGCAGTAGATGCGGGCCACCCGGGTTCATGTCATGATTCATTTATTTGGAATCAAACTTATGCAAGGCAATTTTATAGCAACAATCGCGCTCAAAACACTTGGATTTTGGCAGATTCCGGCTACGCTTTGGAAACCGTCGTAATGACGCCATATAGGAACCCACAGCATGGATCAATAGAACATGCCTTTAATAAGAGACACGCTTCTGCTCGCAACATAATTGAGCGTACAATCGGTTTATTAAAAAGCCGATTCCGATGCTTGCAAGGAACTCTTCACTACGAACCAAAGTTTGTTGCTCAACTAATCAACGTTTGCTGTGCGCTACACAACATTTGCCGCAGGCGTAACATACAGATGAATGAAGAGAATGGCCATGATCTGGAAATGACAAGTAGAAATGCTGAAGACGAGAGTGACAATGATTACCAGGCGGCTGTAGATGGAGGGGAAATGAGGGATGAAGTTGCCCGAAGGTTACAAATCTAATTTTTAAAGTATTTAAATTCGTAGTCACTCTCTGAAGTATTCGTAATTTAGTTTTTTCCAGAGACTGAAAATAAAAGTTATTTTACAATTGTTGACATCAAAAAGGCATAGTGAAAAAATTATGCTATAGCTTTTTTAAAGGTACCATTAGACTCATTTCACATTGTAGACTGTGATTTCTCCATGACTTTTAAAAATCTGACTTTTATCATTTTGAGCAAATAGTACCGATTATATCTGCTTTTTTTTTAAGGCAAATATNAAAGGGTTGCCCTTTTTAAAATTATAAAACCTGCACCGTTCATTGTATTAGAAAAAAATAGGTTCCAAATTAGAGGGCTGGGCCTCTAGATGTGCAAGAAGGTTTCATTATTTTGAATAGGGTTGCCACCTGCTAAAAAAATCATAAGACTTACACCGTTCGCGCAATTTAAAAAAATGATATCATATGCCATATAAACGGGCTTGGTCTATAGATCTGCAAGGAAGAACCTCTAATTTTTTTAAAAAGAGTTGCCGCCTGTTACACATTTTTTTTAGTGCAGAGAATCAGATTTACACCGTTCTCTCGAGTTTCAAAATGTGGTGTCAAATTAAAGGTTTTTTTTTAATTAAAAATGCATTGTTTAAGTTCTTATGCAAATAAAAGTTTTTTCATCTATTATCTTATTTGAGAAAATGTTCAATAATTTATACTAACAATAAATGCATATGTTACTTCGATATTTAAAAATTTCATAAAATGTGTAGTGTGAGTGCCCACTACTATTTCAATGCTCGCAGCTGTACATATATATTATTCTAAAACAAGGCGCTTATTCCCAGCGATCTACAAATCGTACAGTGACAAGTTATACGTCAAATTAAAGTTTTCGATCTGAAACTTTTAAGATTTAAAATACATTAAACCACTCCCGAAATATTTGAGTCGAAAGATTTTAAAATTTTTACATTGGGGAAGCACTGCTAAGTTAATTTCGATAGGCAACGTCTCAGCGGGACAAAAGAGAATGAAAAATTGTTCCATTTATTCGCTTTCGTCCCTGTTTTTGTTTCATATCGAGCAAAGCATTGCTACGTTCGTGCGAATGTAGGCAGCGATACTGCGGAAGATCTGCAAAACTAAAATTATGCTTTTGGCTCAGCACATATACATATCTATGTACATTAGAGTGGTTCATAAAAACACTCTTTTTGGAAAATCATAAACGCTAAATTACAAAATTGTTATTTGTGATAAAAAAAGAGGCACGTATTTTTTTATTTTGAAAAAAAGTTTTTTAGAGGTCGCGCTGGTCGGGTTTTTATAAAAAACGCTGATGTTCGCAATTTTTTATTTTTGTGACATGTGTTGAAAATGTGGTTTTTACATATAATTACTCTGGTATTATTGTGGAACATTCCCTTAATTACACACCTTGGACAGTTAGAATGGGCCTAGTTCCCGAAAATATTCTCTCGAAAAGACATTAGTAAAATTAAAACGTTGATACTGAACGATTTAGGCGTTGTCATGGGTTGGAACTTGTTACTAGGGGGTTTCTGGGGTTGCTAATTAGGAATCTGAAGTCAGTTTTTCAAGTTCAAAATTGCGGAACCAAAATGGCGATTAATTTTTTTTTTTAATTATTGGATTTGTTTGAAAACCGGCACTTGTAAGTTTTTGAGGTCGCCGATTAGGAATCTGAAGTAAATTTTTTTAAATTCAAAATGGCGGATCTGATATGGCGACCAAATTAAAAAAAAAACTACTAAAATTAAAACGTTGATACTGAACGTTTTAAGCATTTTCAAGGGTTGAAACTCGTTTCCAGGGGGTTTCTGGGGTTACTGATTACGAATCTGTTGTCAGATTTTTAAAATTCAAAATGGCGGTTACGAGTTTCAAACAAATCCAATAATTTTTTTTAAGTTGGTCGCCATTTTGGATCCACCATTTCGAATTGTGAAAATCTGACAACAGATTCGTAATCAGCAACCCACACTGGGAGGATTCGCGTTTTTTTTGCATAAATTAGATATATTGTTGATAATTTATTTTAATTTTAATTATGTTTTCTTTAAGTATACTCTTTGAACATAATAAAATTATGTAAAATATTTGTTTGGCTACAACCCTGTCATCTCACCGTGCTCGCAAAGTCATATGCACGGTCAGCTGTTTGCTTTGCTAAAAGTGCCACGAAAATTTTCCTGAACCTCGCGGCTGTTAAAGTTAGCCCGTATCACAAAAACATTCCTGTTAAGTATGAAAAACAAAGGCCAAAGTATGTAAATTATAAACATTGCTTAAATATCGAGTTGAGTTCATTAAATTGTTTGACTGTGTATTGTTTCGGTATGTCTTACATTTATTTATTTATTTATTTGATAAAACTAAATGAATTAATGTAACGATGTATCGTAAAGTTTAAAATAACTTTCTGCCAACTTGTGCCAAAATGTAACTATGTTATTACCTGCATGAAAGTATGCATTTTAACATGTTATCAGTACTTTTTGCCCAATTTTGCCCATTCTCCATATTTTTTAGTTTTTCAGCTAAGTTTGATTTCAGCCATACAACCTTTCTTAACGTTTGGATCGATAATAATCGAAATGTTAAAGCACTTTCAAACTGGATTTTCAAACAACTCAACGCTGGTAACTTGCTCACTATAAACACAACAGATATAATGAAAAAAAATTAAGAGTTTCGACCTATACATGAAAAAAAATTACCAACTTGATCCACTTTTAAGTTAAAGCATTCAAATTGGCTTGCATTGAAGATGAGTATTGTAGTGGATTCTAAAGATTCGGAAGCAACATTGAAAAGGAAAGTAGGATGACCTGGTTTATTTTAAAACGATGCAGGTCGCGACTAAAACGGAAGCTGGCATCCAATCTGGCGCATAGCCAAGAAAACGAGACAAGCCTCCTTTTGCATGCAGCAGCGGTTCCAGCGAAGAATCAAATGACAAAGATGTGGTATTTATGCTGACCCTTCTATACTAGATTCGAACCGATCAAGTGAAATGAAAAATAAATTGTTTTCACCGAAACCGATACCACTTACCCCTAATGAAGCTCTTGCGTTCTTGCTTGAAAATTCTCTAAGCTAAAACCAATATCAATACTCGGCGTTTAAATAAAGAGCATTTTTGTGCCATATACCCAAGTTATGACAAAGTTAGAGAGGCTAAATTACAGTGCAGCCCCACGGGAATAACTGTTACGGAAACTATGGCTAAAGTTTCTTTGCAAAATCGAAATTAGTCGAATTAAATATGATCTTGCAAGAGGAAGTTTTTAATAAATTTGAAAATCTCGCGAACGTCAAACTAATTTTGAGCTATGGGTTCGATGGATCAACTGGACAGAGTACGTATAAACAAAGATCTTTTGTAAGCGAACCGGTTGCCATTGATCAATCTTTGTTTGTTACAACCGTTATACTACCCAAACTAACGGATGATTTGGGAACAGTTTTGTGGATAAATCGCACACCTCAGTCTGTAAGATTTTGTAGACCGCTAAAACTGGGGTTTGCTAAAGAAAGCAAGGAACACATTCTTACCGAAAAAAGGAATTTAGATACACATTCGAAGTTGGTTGCCGTTTGTGTATACTATTTTAAATGAAAGAAATATCACCGTATCATATGACTTTAATCGACGGCAAGGCTTTAAGCATTTTAACGGGGACAAAATCTTGTCAATTGTGTCCCATCTGTGGAGCAAGCCCAAAAAATTTTTATGGAAATTTATGTTTATTTTACGACATTTAAGCCAAAACCTGGAAGCCTACAATATACCATAAGTCCTCTCCATGATTGGATCCAGTTTCTCGAGTTTGTACTCAACATCTCTTATAGAATTGGACTAAATAAATGTCACATAAGAGATAAGAAGGAAAATGAGAAAATGATGGTCCAAAAACAAAATATACAAAAGAGAATATGGGAGGAAATGGGACTGCGTATAGATAAACCCATTCAGAATGGTAGCAATGTGGGCGGTAACAGTGTGCGTCTTCGTATCGCTCTGCAACTTCGCTTATTTAATAAACATAGTCTTATTAGTAAATGTGCTAATTTGTAACTCTGCAACTACATTTGTCGAATTTATGCAAAAAAAAAACACGAATACTCCCAGTGTGCAATGCTTAAAACGTTCAGAATCAACGTTTTAATTTTAGTAGTTTTTTTTTATTTGATCGCCATATTGGATCCGCCATTTTGAATTTAAAACAATTGACTTCAGATTCGGCGGACCCAAAAACTCTCAAGTGCCAGTTTTCGAACAAATCCAACCATTTTTTTAATTAATCGCCATTTTGGATCCGCCATTTTGAATTTTGAAAAAGTGACTTCAGATTCCTAATTAGCAACCCCAGAAACCCCCTGATAACAAGTTCCAACCTATGACAACGCGTAAATCGTTCAGTATCAACGTCTCAATTTTACTAGTCTCTTTTCGAGAGCATATTTTCGGGCAATAGGCCCATTCTAACTTCCCAAGACAGTTATGTAATTAAGGGAATGTTCCCCAATAATACTGGAGTAATTATATGCAAAAACCACATTTTTACCTGAATTTTAACATATCAAGAAAATAAAAAAATTGAGAACATCAGCGTTTTTATAAAAAAAAGCGCCCAGCGCGACCTCTAAAAAAAACTTTTTTCAAAAAAATAAAACACGTTTCTCTATTTTTATCACAAACAACAATAATTTGAGGTAGCGTTTATGAATTTCCAAAAAAAAAATGTTTGAACCACTCTAATACTACGTTCAAATTGACGAGCTAAACATGTTAAATGGACTTGAAACAGTCAAATGAACAAAACATGTTCATAAACAAGTTAAATCGCATGCAATTGTTGTTGGAAAATTGAACCAGTTAAATCATTTAAAGGTAATTGGCCCAATGCAGGCTTGCTTTGCTTGCCTCGCTTTGAGAACTGTCAAAAGTTATTTGGAATATACTAAAATGTATGAAGGCTGGCCAAATGGCAGC